ATTCCACCTTTCTTCACCTCTCATGGGATTTTTCAACCCTCCACTCACCTGGAAATCTGCATTTGGGATTTACATCTTAATTCAGGGTGAACATTTCCGTGGACCGAATGGCACGTTACCGTGGCAACCGACCGAGAATGGGAGATCAGCAACGTGTGAGCTGTAACTTGACTCAGGCCAGGCATCTTCTACCCCAAATCAGACACTTCAGAACAAACTATACCAGATACAGACAAAGATTTGGCTAAAAAAAAATCATTCTTTTTTTTTGTTTCCTGATGGTTGATCAAGATACGGCTTAAATATTTTTTACCTGGATTTTGTCAGCCGTCAAATCTGATTTAACATTTCACAGAAAGCTGCTTGCTAACCCTAACCCTAACAGCCTGGTGCACACAAAACACTGAAACATTATCTTTGGGAATTAATATTATTAATTACATAATGATCCAGTGTTGGATGATAGAGATCATTTATGTAGCAAAGAAGCAACTTTTTACAGACCGGTCTTAATAATGTCTGTATTCTGACACATGTGAACACTTTTAAAGGGCAGGTGTGTGTTGGTAGAGGCAGGCAGAAAGGAGCTCCAGGAACTGATGCTTCTGAAGGTACAAAGACATGCAGGATTTGAATCTTACCCAACTAACAATCAGCACTGCGTAGGCCATTTAAAATCCAATTATTGTGGCAAGTGCGTATGTAATGCAGTTTGCCAGTACTTTGAAACAAAACTATTGTCAAGTCACAGGACTGTTAAGCTTCAGTGTATTTAAATTTGGCACAAAGTATTTTGTATGTTATAGTTTAATGTTTAAACTGAGTGCGCCTAACAGTCCTCCTCCTCATTTAAGACTGGAGTGTCTTAAACCTCTTCTCGCTCCTGGAAGCAACTCTCGGACGCAGGTTTTTGCTAAACGCTAGCTTCTGGTCAAAGAGCGAGCTCACCACTCTGTCGCAGACTGCTAAGCACTAGCTTACTGCCACTGCAAAGCAACCAGAGTCAGCTAGTCTGTACCCAAACAGTAGCTATTTTCCCTCAGTGAGAGCTA